GTGCCATGGTCTAGTGATGATGGTAGGGTTGGACTCGATGATCTTTGAGGTCTTTTCCAGCCCAGTTGATTCTATGATTCTATGATTTGTAAGCAGTGGTATTAGAGCTTGATATCCTGCATGGAAATTAGCATGGAGTCTTCAAAAATTCTAGTCCAATGGGTATTGTCAGCTACTGCTGATCTGAAAGGTCCCTATTCTTTTAGATGGTAAGAAACAAAACACATAATTGTTTCAGATGACAAATCTCATGCAGGGTCTACCTAAGACTATATTTGTGCTCATCCACGAAGAGCAGGAAAGCTTTCCATGCAATGTGCGTCTGGTAAGCACTGCCATGACATCAGGCCTTATTCTCCTGTACAAGCTTTGTTGATCTTAAGTGTGAGATCTGGAGTCATACAGTTAAAGGGCATCACGGAGCTGTGCACTCTGATGGCAGGCTGTGCAGTCCTTCTCAGACTGACCCTGCAGATTCTCCATGGCCTGATTGCCCTTGGATGATCCACTCTTCTGGCTGAGGGCACAAATAGGACTGAGTAAAAGCAACTACATAGCATTTCAAGCACTGCATCAGCTTGTGTGCCTTAGGATTTCTGTTTCATTCCTGGAGGAGTCTGAGTCCTGGCAGAGCTTGCTGCCATGCCGCTTTAGCTGCGGACCCAGTCAGGATCTTTCTGCTTACTTTTAAGTCTCATTTGCATCAAGACTATTTGCAGGATGCAAGAAATAATTACATCCCACATGGATGTTGTGGAGCTGTGCAGGAGCAGTGTGGAGATCCATGGATACACCTACTATAAAATGCCTATGAGCCATTCCAGAAGAAAATTCTCATTTATGTGCTAGCTACATGGAAATACAAAGTTGATATCACTTGTGTTTTTACCACTTAGTATAACTTCTCATAAAATTTTTATTGCAAGTGTATTAATATATATTCTCTTATCTCAAAAAGATCTTTTCAATAATCTCAAATGCATTATCATATGAAGATTTTATTGGGTACTTGATAAGAGTGGTGGTGCTGGGTTTGTTTTTGTGGTGATTGAACAATTAAGCAATAATTCTCAACTCAGATCAAACATCAAACAAATACAGAATAAACAATAAATACTTTGTTTAATTGCTTTCATTAGATTGTATGAAAAACAGGGCTGTGAAAATTATATCCAACACATTGATACGTTTGGGTTTTTTCCTGTAATCCCAAAGGAAAAGATAAGGTTTGAAGACAGTGGATGATGTTTAGTCATTAGGTGGAAATTGATCTTATGACTTAAAATACTGGAACAGATTGTTACTTTAGCTTTTCTCAGAACTCCTCAATGAATAGGAATTTGATTCTTTCTCTTGTGTGGATAAATTGTGATTTTTAACCAATGGAATTTTTTCCTACCTTAGAGGATAATGTAGTTGACTTCCAATTCAGGTTTATAAAGCTGTTTGCTTTTTTTTTTAAAGCTGCTTCTTTTTTTTTTTCCCCCAGTGAATTGACTGACACATTAGGAAGATAAGAAAGAAATTCAATTTTAAATAAATTGAAAAAAAATTATATTTGCATAGAACATAATAAACCATATTTTTCATTATCTTTGTTCTGCAGCTGTAGTGCTCTTTGTTACACAAAAGACACGTATTTAGGCAATGTGACGTTTCTAAAGAGAAAATACATTTATGCAGAAATAATGGTGATTTTTCATGCTATGTGTGTTTAAGTAGGAAAATCTATAAATTATATTCCTAAATCCTGCATTTAGCTTGCTTTTATAAAGCAATAGCCACACAAAAGTATTTGCTTGTAAAATGATGTTCTGGTAGAAGCCAATATTTTATTGTTTTTCACTTTTGAAACAGTGTTCCATTTTTGTACTGATTAATACATAATGTGCTAAGTCTGTGCCTATGGCAGGGGGCTTGGAACTTGATGATCTTTAAGCTCCCTTCCAACCCAAACCTTTCTATGATTCTATGATGGTATTTCTCCTTTCTATCTCACCTTTCCTGTCATTCAGTGTTGATCAGAAACAGAAGCGCTGAGGCTGGAAGAAACTTAGCTGTGAAATTCTTTCCATCACCGATGTGCTTAAGAGTATTGCTGATATTTTTCTAATGTTAACTTTGTATACAAAATGTTTGCTTGACTTCATTTTATTACAGTCCATGTCATCTTACCTATATTTGGGTTCGATGTAGGAGTTCATCCCTCGGTGTGGAGGAGTTGGGTGCTATGATCATGGTTCGCCACAAGGCGTCACTGTTGGCCGCCACATGTCAGGTCCGCAAGGGTCGCGGTAACACGAGGCACAAACGCGCTGTCACTTTCAGATTTCATCGTTTTAAGCTCTTCCCCGAGCAAGTAATACTTAAAATCAATTGTTTATTTTAAAGCCCTCTTAGATTCAAGTTAAGCGTTTCCTCCAGTGATTTACAAAAATCAGAATTTTGCTGAGGTTACAACTCTATTAGAGTGTCAATTATTAATGATTAAGAAATAATATACTGAATTGTTCATACTCTCATTAGACCTCATTCAAATACCATTAATCTTCTCTGAGTAGCAGGTATAATGAACTATGGGAATTGTCTCCATTGTTCAGTGAGTGGAAGGTAATTTGGATACACGTGGACATCATTCTTCTGTGGTGCACTAGAAGGAGTTGACAGCTGGTTAGGTACAGTTTGGATGCTGGTTGCTGTGTAAAAAGGAATTGTAACAAGTTGCCCCCAAAATTACAATAAATGTTGGAAAGACATTTAATCTCCTGGGATTCCACTCCACCCCCAACAGAATATATTGTGAAATTATTAACTTGATGTAATTTACTGATTTAACTTAGTAAATCCGTTTTCAGTTCTGGGCCCCTCAGTTCAGGAGGGACATTGAGGTGCTGGAGCAGGTCCAGAGAAGAGCAGCGAGGCTGGTGAAGGGACTGGAGCACAAGTGCTATGAGGAGAGGCTGAGGGAGCTGGGGGTGTTCAGCCTGGAGAAGAGGAGGCTCAGGGGAGACCTTATCACCCTCTACAACTCCCTGACAAGAGGTTGGAGTCAGGTGGGGGTTGGTCTCTTCTCCCAGGCAACCAGCAGCAGGACAAGAGGGCACAGACTCAAGCTCTGCCAGGGGAGGATTAGGTTGGATATTGGGAAGAGATTTTTTCCAGAGAGAGTGATCAGGCATTGGAATGTGCTGCCCAGGGAGGTGGTGGATTCACCATCCCTGGAGGTTTTCAGGATGAGACTGGATGTGGCACTTGGTGCCATGGTCTAGTAATGATGGTGGGGTTGGACTTGATGCTCTTTGAGGTCTTTTCCAGCCTAGCTGATTCTATGATTGTATGATCTCTCTCTTCTAAATGTTTGTATGGTCTGTTCTTGGTACATTGTAAACCTGTGCATCTAGAGCAATCTTTGCCAGGGGAACATTCTTGCCAAAGTATCTGATACTTCTTGCATGAAGAACTGTTTCCTCTTATTTGTTTTGAATATGGCTTCTTCAGCTTCTTGGTTTTTATATTAAGCAAGCCTGTGCACTCTTTGTATCAACCCTGTCTGTTACTTGTTTTGTAGACCTTTATTGTTCACTTAGAAATTTTCTTTTTTGAAGTGGAAAAAGTAAGTAATTCAAAGGAATTCAGTGACTTCTGTAATTGGAACATCCCTATTACTCCCCTGTCAAGAGTCTGCAGCTGTAATCTGTCATCTTTTTGACTAGGGTTTTCTACAGATATGCAAACCACAGATTTATGCAGTGGGGTAACAGTCTTCTCTATTCTGACACAATTTGTTATTTTGACCATTGCTGAGTGGTGATGCAATATTTTCATGAGTTATCCTAAGATGATCCTAAAATGCAGCTTACTTATTTTTCAGTTTAACTATGTTGAATTTCATGTATTATTTTATTGTTGAGTCATGTGGTCAGACAAGAACTTGTTCTATGGTTTTTCAAAGGCTAGTCTGATTCTCTGTGCCGTCCTTTATCAGCAAGCATCCCTCACTCTTCTTCTCTCAGGATCACTAATGCTGTACAAGACCTATATGCCATCAGTGATAGCTAAACTTTCAATTCCATGATTGATAATACTTGAAGTGGAGTACACTGATGTCCTAAGATTCCAGTGTTTCCCATCTAGAAATAAAGCCAGTCAAAAATGATGTACAGGCACTGACAGCAGACAGATAGTTCATATGCCTCCTTCTTTTCTTTTTGTAGCAAAGTTTTGCATATATTCAGGGTTTAAATAAGATGATCTAGAGCATATACTAATGATGAAGAGATCATATATTTTTCTGTTCATGGTTTTAATAGTCTGTAACTAAAGAATTACGCATTTTGCTGACTTTTCCTACTTGACAAAAATGATTGGTTGAAATACATTTGAAAATAATATGTACTTGTGGATTTGGTAGCTTTGTAGAATGACCTATAAAGTGTTAGAAAATTTAAATATTCAAATAATTCCTTTGCTAAAGCACCTTATAGTATATTTTCCCCTTGAAAAACATGCAGAATGGTGTTGTCAAGGGGCAAATTTTTACTTTGGAGATTTAATATACTATAATATATATTGTAACCTAATTTACTATAATGTTATTTGCTTTGATATAAGCTTTCTATAGTTCAAATACAGCATAGTTTTTCTTCAGAAGTAACATACAGTGCATATTGTGCTTCACGTTTTAGACCTAAATGATAGGTCATCTAAAAATGTGATGTGTTGCATCTTTCTTTCAGTCTATGACTCGTACAGTCTGTTGTCTGAGAAGAATGCAGAATTAAATTGTTATTATTTGAGCTAAACTAATGCTTTCAATTTGACTGATATCCTGTGTTGTCAATTTTTTCATTGAGCATCTGTTAAACATAAAAGTGTATACCATATTTTATCAGAATGAGCAATCCTGACATCTGTAATTAAGCCTCCCTTGTTTCTGCTTTATTGGCTTTAACATTCCTGTCTAACAGATTGTACAAATTGCACATTTGTTTACAAAACAGGTCCAGATTGTTCTCTGAACGTCCCTTCCACGGAGTCTTACTGGATTCTACCAAATGTAAAGCCATTCAGCCCTTCTGTGGGTCGAGCTTCCCATAAGGCAGTCCTGCATGGGAAGTTTATGTGGGTTATTGGTGGATACACTTTTAACTACAGTTCATTCCAAATGGTGTTGAAGTAAGTGATTTCTCCTTTGCCATATCCTTTCTGATGTGCTTTAGGGAAAACAGATCTTATCAGGGAGGTAGAGGTTTATGTGTTTTCAGATGCTTTATTAATGATCTTATTTTCTGCTTGATTTTCTTAAGTTGATAAAGTAAAATATGGGCAACATCAAAATCTGTCATACCAATATGTAATTTTTTCAGTTTTGTGAACACTGTTCCTGTACTTTAGTCCAAAGCATGAAAAGGTTTGTGGTGATAAAACAGTGAAAGAAGTGCGTGTGCTGATATTTACAGACAGTCCATCTCAAATGTTATCTGCATTGTTGAAGTTAATTTTGAATTACAGAAAACTTGTATTTAGTGCATGTACTTAGTCTGTCAGTGCCATGCCAGTAGGGTTAGGCAGATCATCTGCATTTCACTTTTGGTATTTATGGCAGTTTGTATGTGTATTTGGCCATCTGTGAAAACCAAAGTTAAGGCAGGTATAAATAGCTGATTTGGCTGGTAACTTGTATGTTTGTAGAGGCCCTACATGTGGCAAATGCAAGTGTTAGTGTATGTTCGTTGTCATGTTTACTTCTCCTATTTTTGTCTATATTTTGTTTTCTTTCACGTGTTTTCTTGCCTTCATCCTAAACAAATCCCATCATCTTAAGTGTTTTTCTTTTCTCCCTCTGTCATTTTTTTTTTACCTCTCTTCCATCTTGTTGCGTGCTAATGGATTAATGATTAATTAAAATGTAATGGAAATTGAAATCAACCATACAGCTGAGGGGATGTTCCACAAGGAGTTATCAAAGTGAAAGATTCTGACATAAGCAGTTTAGTGGGGTGGGTTTTTTACATGGCTGATATAGTGAGCTTAGCAACATAGTTTCATAACTTTTTTTAAGTGGTTTTTATTATAGCCCCATTTTCTGAGGTTACTGATGGGTCCCTGAAAGAGCTGCTCCTGTTTTGCTTGATGAATGTTTTGTACATTATCACTATCACAAGTTAGTACACTGTTGTACTAGTGAACAGATTACCACATCAGTGACCGATGAAGTCTGTCAAACAGAAGTTAGTTTGAACATACAAACTTCTCAATTTCTCTGCAGGTAGAAAATGTTTACTTTTCTATTTCTCTTCTAGCTACAATTTGGAAAGCAGTATATGGAATGTAGTACCTGTATCCAAAGGGCCACTCCAGAGATATGGACACACTCTTGCTTTGTATCAGGTTTGGACTCTTCAGCATTCTATATAATGAATTTCTTTGTGTGCTGTTAGTGGTCTTAAAATCACTCACCATGAACACAGATTTTTGAGGATAATTTAATATCTAGTCCCTAAATATTTTGTATTAGTGTCTACTTCAGTACTTAGATGTATTGTGCAATTTTTGGAGGAGATTGCACAATAGATCTAAGTCACTTAGCTGACCATAAACCCTCAGAGCTAAATCTGCCAATAAAAAGTGGTGTATGTGTGTGTGAGATAATTGAATTTGTGGGCAGTGCTCTTGCTGACCAGGCACCATCCCCAGGGGCTAGGCCCAGCAGGCAGAGCCAATTGCTGGTAGCAGGGTCCTTTGGCAGACCCAAGACGTGGTGTTTGATGACTCAGGTCCAGGCAATTGAGGGAATCCAATCAGGAGCACAAGGAGATGTGTTTGATGACTCAGGTCCAGGCAATTCAGGGAATCCAACCAGGAGCACAAGGAGACAGGGCCAGAGATGGGACTGGAGAGAAGACTACAGCATATGCCTGAGGAGTCTGTCAGGGAGACAAGCTATAGATGATGAGAGACTTGTTAGCTGTGACAAAGAAATATAAAATTTTTATCAAAAATTTTCTTTTGTTTGTGTAAGACACCCTCAGCAGGGAAGGGCAAAAAGGATTGTATCAAGTCAGACCAGTTGTTTGTGTAAGACACCCTCAGCAGGGGAGGGCAAAAAAGATTGTATCAAGTCAGACCAGTGTTCATCTCGCCTGACACATCTTGAATAATGGGTAACAGTGAATGCCTAAGAAAGAATCTAAGAAAAAACTGACAGGACCCTACAGAAGCTTCCTCAGAATACTGTCCTAGTTTGCAGCTGGGATTTCCTAAAATAGGATAGTGTTTTTGTGGAAAAATTATGAATCCATCTTTGTTATTTTTTCCAGATTTTTAGGCCATATATTTATTTTAGCATTGATAGCTTTGTTATTTTTTCCAGATTTTTAGGCAATATTTATTTTAGCATTGATAACATTCTGTGCCTAAGGATTCCAGTGTATTTTGTGAAGAAAAAACACCTTTTGGGAAACTGATAGTAGCTGCTTTAATTTTGATAATCCCTATTTCTTATTCTCCATTTATTTTCTCTACTACTCATGATTTTCTGTACGTCCATCACATCCTCTATCATTTAATTTTCATACTGAAAATTCCTTGCATTTTTAATATTCCTCTATGAGGAAGATGTTTCATACCTTGGATAACATTGTGTCATTGCCTCTACCTCTTCTAATTGCGCTATAACTTGTCTGAGAGAGGAATTGACTGTCTTTATTGTACTGTTATTTCAGAGATGGATGTCATAGAATTAATGGTCTCATCATTTTTCCTATTAATTCTTAAGGGTATTTTAGCCTTTTGAGAATCTACTGTTTGCTTTGAACTGGTGTTTTCACAGGACTATCAATTAGAACTTCAATATTTCATTCTAGTCAATTAAAAACCTATCCCTGTATGTACAGACTTAAAATAGGTTTTTGCACATATGCATCTCTTCATGTTTATGTATATGAACATTTTTTACCCTTTTATTCATTCCTCTGTTTCACATTCAGTATTAGGAGATTCTTCTGCAATTCTTTGCTTTTGACCATTGTCTCAGCTATTTTGAGTAACAGTACTGTCAAAAGATGTTGCTCTTTGTCCATTCATCACTCTGCCTGCTTGTTGTTCAGCATGTTGAACAAACAAATCCCAATTGCAGCTCTCTGTGGGACACCACTAATGACCTTTATTAATTTATCAAATTATTTAGCCGTGTGTTGCCTGCCTTGCTTGACCCAGGGCATCTTAGTTTCTTTAAGGCATGAGAAACATTATCAAGCATCTTTGGGAAATTTCAGGTAGGTGTGTCAACAGGACCTTTGATTCCTTCAGGAAAATCCAAGGATTTGCAAAGTATAACTTCCCTTTTCAGAAGTTCATAGAATTTTCCTCAGTCTGTTTGTCTGTTTTGTCCACTGAATTCTGTCCTTTCTTCCTCTGCCTTGTCAGTCTTGTGATACAGACACATTTTAAAGTGGGGATTTACATACTACAGTCAGGGTTCAACTGTTTTGTCCTTAAATTCCTTCAGAACGGATCCTGGAGATCTTCTTTGCCAATTTTTGAGGTTTTTATACTATAACCTTCTGTTATTAAATTTTGCTATGGCAGCACCTGTAATGTCTAGGGTGAGGAACTCATGGGGAGGTTAACCTCACTTCATTGCTGTGGCTTTATTGTCTTAGAATATTCCTTCAGACTGTCTGTTGGCACCATAAAGTATCTAGTTTGCTGTATTGCTAATGCATTTGGAAAATGTTCTGTTAGTACTTTATATTTACATTTTGCAGGCAGCTCATTAAGTTGTTTCATGGCCTGCCTTTACATGTGTTTCTGTCATCTCCTGAAGTTTTTGAACCTTTATTTTGAAGTATCTGCCTTTACATGTGTTTCTGTCATCTCTTGGAGTTTTTGAACCTTTATTTTGAAGTACAGTTTTTCTTCTAAGTCTTTGTAATTCTTCCATTAAGCTAAGCTTTATATATTTTGTTATTTGTAATGGGAATCTTTATATATTTTGTTATTTGTAATGGGATTTTTTTTTTTTAAATAGGAAGGATTCATGTGATCTCCACAGATATCCTTAAAATGTCTTCATATTGTAATTCAAGATTTTACCCTTGTAGTTGTACATTTTAGTTTCTTTTTATATAGTCTTCTAAGGTCTTCCTTTTATATAGGGCTTCCTGTGAATCTCGGCAGAATTGAAGGCATGGGTGGATATTTTGGTTTGTTTTCCTGGTATCTGTTGTTTTTTCAGAGATGCTGAGTCTGTACATGGCATGGTTAGTATTGCAGAGGTGTTTTAAGTAATAATATGAACTAGATTCTTTGTGTGCCCAAACATCAACTCAAAAATTACTTTTCTCCTTGTCAGTTACCTGATTCATTACTCATGTATTATCTGATCTTTGAAAGGTCAGATCTTTCTAACTGGTATCTTTGGTTATTACAGTTCTTGTAGAATGTGGACCTTTTAGTTGGGAAACATCTGAGTAATGTGTCATTTAGCAGTTCAGAATAAAGGCTTAAAATATCATGTACCCTTTTTATTTGGTGGTGCTAATACTTTCTTGAAACATTCCAGACTAGAGGGTAACCATTTTAGAAATACTTTTACCAGCAAATATTAAATATCATAGACCTGTGTTAATTGAGAAATCTTTTTGGGCCGCAGTGAGGAAATGCCACTCTTGTTAATAATAATGAAAGCTACATGCAATTGTGTAGCAAAGCAGCTGTTGCTGCTGTTGAAGATGTGCTAATTAGCAATTAGTATTCACTAATAATGAAATTGTGAAATAATTAACGTGCTGTTTGTACTAGTAATTATGTCAAATGTCAAAAATTACATGGTCCAAAAGGAGCTGATCATGCAAGTTGAAGAAATTTCAAGAGGAAAACGTATGTCTTTCTGCAATGAATTCTTAAATTACCTTGTTAGGATAAACTTTTGATATATTTCCTTTCAGATCTTCAGTCTCTTGAAAGAAAAAAACACCCCAAAAACCTAGGAAAAGAATGTAGAGTAGTAGAACATAATACCTAGAGATGGCAGCTTTGAGCTGTGTTTTGAGCTGTGTACGAGTAATTGTGTAACATTTCCTTTATGGCTGAGAAAAAAATATCCACAGAGAAGAAATTAGATTAAGTTTTTTGACTTGAGCTCCTGAGATTTCAAAACCTAGTGCTAGGCTAGAGTGAGAGCGCAGAGCTAACACTGCCTGATTGTGGTGCAAGGTAAATTGAAGCTATGTGATTGACTCTGTGGAGAATGAAATAAGTTACTGTGCCCATTTCCCTCAGAAAGCTTCTTTAGTTAAAATTGAAGTACTGTTCTTCTTTATTCTGAAGGAAAAAAGATCAGAAGACTCCCACTGATATATCGTTATAACAAGTGACTAAGACTTTTTATGCATTTATAGAGGAGAGAATTTAAAAGTGCTCTTGCTTTTAGACCAACTCAACTGTTAGGTAGTATTACCTCCAGTGCCTCTTCAGGATGCTTATTGGAAAGGTGCTACCTATCTCCTAGCAATTGGTTCTACTGTATCTCAGTAACTGTATGTAGCTCCTGGCATCTTGATACTGAAAATATCAACCTACTTTGAAATCATTTATATAAGAAATAGGATTAAAAGGTGACTGGAGGAAATGACTTGTGAGGTTTTTAAAGTAGGTATATATAGCTTTGCTAAACTGTGACTAGGCAGGGAGTTAGAGAGTAAATTGCAAAATTTACTCCTTGGAATTAAGTAGAAAGGAAATTGCCTGCAAGGTGTGTACATGGTCACTGCTGGGAGTCTAGTCAGTAGTGAGTTTGTTGGTTGTATCACAGAATTTGACCTCATAATTGAACTGTTGTTAGTGGTCCCGAAGACAGTGGAAGGATGGCTGGGCATTGAGGTTTGTTTCCTTTGAGACTGGCAGTAGAGGTGAAGCAGGCAGGCTGATGGAGTAGCAGTTGTAAAGACATTTTACAGTATTTACAGACCATTTAATACATAGTCAAATTTAACTCATTTGAGTTTCATGATTGTTACCTCCACTTTTAAATCTGTTTTAATAAAGGATAATTGTTGAGATTCCTTTTCCAAATTAATTAGTGTTGATATTGAGTCTGTATCTATCTTCTGGTAGTTTTTATTAGTCTAATCAAAAGTTAGTATTAACAAAGCAAAAAAGAGTAAAAACTTGTCCTGGTTTTATATGAGTGAGATAAAATCTTCCACCAGTTGGTTCATTGTTACTCTTTTAATGCCTATTTTTGTTGGCTATTGTATAATTTGAACAGCATCAGGAATGTAAAAGTACTTTGCAACTCTTCCATGAGTAGTTATTAGGGGTTGTACAACAAATTTGCATAGTTGTATTGTTTTATGACTTCCAATTGCATCTTAAGCATCAGTTAT